TAATATGGTAAAGCACAGCAATCAGAGGACGTATCTGAACATGGGCTAAAATTGTATATTTCTACTCCTACAGTCTTGTTCGTTACGGACGACGGGATGTGCCAGGGGGAATGAGTTTGCAACACCAGCCCATTTCTTTTTTTTCGGAACGCGACAAGACTGTATCATAAAGTTCATGTCAGTCGTTTTTCCACCTTTTTTGCCTGCTTCAACAACTGAACGGGTACGGGCTAGCGGCGAGCCAATCCCTGCTTCACTGGCACGCCCCTCATCCACTGCGAAGAAGACTGTACCCATCTGTCCCTGACGGAATTGAATGTCGCTAGCTAGCGACAGCAATGACTCTTCTAAGTAAGGTACGTTGCAAAAGCTCTAGGAAGACTAACTTCTGTAATGGCACTCTGAACGACGATATCAGTAGCGATCATAACTTCTGATACGGATTGTTCTATTCTATCTGAAAGGCAGGCACGATTAAGAAAGTGATATACCACAGATAGATGCTCCACTTACCATTGTAACGAAGCAAGTTTCTAGAAGAAAATGTTATAGATGACCTGTTGCGCGTGATGTTGATGAAAATCTGCATTATTAGATTAAGAAGATCTCTTTTCTGCGATAATGCTCTTTTTAAATAGAATCAAGAAAACCATACAGGAGGTAGAGTAGCTGTAGCTGGGTTCCCGCACACCCACACATAATGAAAACCTCGAGAAGCGGAGTAAGCCAATCGAACGTTCTGTTCTGGTAAATGCTCGACGAGCTCTTTTTCTGAAAAATCAAAAATCTTTGTTCTCAGAAATCATGATTGCCACTAGAAGAAAACTCGAAGAGCAGAATCGCGACAACAAAAAAGCTGCTGGGCATAGTTTACCCTGAGATTGAATATCCCTGAGGAGTTCTTCATACGCCCGTCTGGCAACATCCAGGTTAACCGAGATGCCTTCCTATAACAGCAGATTCCAAAATTACAAAGTGATCTGAGTGAAAATTCGGATCAAAACTTGAATACCTTGATCGCATAACATTTTTTGTGTCGAAGGTTGAGAGAACTTTTCTTGCTGCTAAACATGGCCTCATCTTGGAAACGATCGTACAGAATTTTCTTGATCGTGTCAACTCGCTCATCAGCTAGAAGCTGCAAATAAGAAATTAGCTGGTAACAGAAAAACGAGAGGCGTGCCCGGGAAGCGATCTAAAGGACGCGTTCAAAGAGCGCTGGCTAGACAAGCTACTTGCGGGCTTGATGATAGCTGGCACTCCGAGTTGAATTTGTGCACAAAATAAGCGGAGCGGACCTGCCACAGAAAGGGATAAACGCTAACGGAAAGATGAAGAGGAAATTGATAAAGAGATGAACACCTCAACAATCCTCTCACCTCGCTTTTCTTTTTCAGCAAGTCGCACTTAAAATTCTTCATCAGTTGGCGGAGCGGTCGTATGATGAACAGCACTTGCTTCAGGCGCAGTAACTAAAATGCAACTTTTCAGGACTACTGTATGCCGCTGCTCACGAATTCAGAATACCGAGAAAAAAGGTTGTCATACCTGGGTCAAGTTGAAGTCGGCACTTTGAAAGCATAATTCGGAATTCAATGTTTAGTGCACAACTATGCGTATTGTATTGAGTTAAACTTAAACTGAGTGTTTTGAAACGCAACTTTGTGTTTTAGTGAGATAACCAGAGATGGTCTCATTAAATGCACTTTTTCATTGCAACATATAAAAATATTTGGCGCACCTTGGAGTGAATATTAGCGGACTGCTTGTGCAAACTGGTGCTACAAATATTTGAGGCTTCTTGCCTTTTCCTAAAAACGGTCGAGCTCTCTTTCTCTTTTCCTGGAGGGGATGTGTATAAAAATTCTTGGAGGAAAAAGAGATATCGCGCCACAGTAAATTCTTCCCATTTTTGTATAAACGGTCCTACAAAAGCGCCCCGCCGCTCGGCCAAGGCGTGCACCGCCGTTCGCCAATGCGTGCACCCCGTTCTCTCACTCTCGCCACAGGAATTAACGAGATTCTTTCGAACTTTTTTACCCATAAAGCTTGAAATGAGGCAAACACGGGTAACATAGCGCATTCAATTGTTTTGAAAGGTGGGATGATGACTAGGAAAAGGACTTACAGCCGTCCCTTTCCTTTTCAGAGTCACCATTGCACCCAGCTGCCTCATTGCTGAGGCGATGGCGACAACGTCACTTCCCACCACGGAACTTTTGTTGCATTGATATCGTTGTTCGGACTGTCAATTACCCAGCATTCAGCGCAAAATCAGAAAAAAAACAGATATGCTGCTTCCATGGGAACAACGCATTCATTTCGTATAAGGACTAGAAAATTTAGTATAAACCAAATGCAGAGGTTCTCAGTGACGCGACTAACAATAGCAGCTGCCGTCTTCAACCATCCATTGCACTTTGTTCCTTCCCTAAACAGACTCGGTCTCGAGAGTGCAGACGATCAGAGTGGGCGTGATCTGGTCTCGCGTGCCTCCACCGCCCCTTCCCCCTTTCGATATCTTAACCTAGAAATGAAAGTCGACTGTAGATGAGTACAAAACAATAGAGAAGTAGGGAGAGTGGGTAGTGGAGAGTGGAACTGTCGCCATTCTCGCTTCACTCTCACTTCATTAGCTAATTGTTGGCCCGCTAGTTTGTTTGTTTATTGTATGACAGTCAGTCAACAGAACGGGCACCGCCAGGAAAAGCAACAAAAACATCTTAAGTGACATCTAGGAAAGGCTAAAAACATAAAAAGTAAAGATAAAGAATAAAAACTGAGAACTTAATAGAGAACATAGATAGATAAGGACCTTATTAACCAATCCGTATGAGGACAACACTTAACGACCCTAACGTAGCTAAGGCACACGAAAAAAAACCGCTGCTATGGTCGCGATCTATGAGTAGTGAGACAAGAAGTGGAACCTGGCCCTCGATACATGAGGAGAGTGGTAAGGGAAAATGAGAAAACAAGTGGACAGGGTACAGCATCGTTGTGTACCATGGGGGGTCGTACTTTTGCTCTGGGGAGGGGGGTCGTATTTGTAAGACAAATTTATTTTGATAGTTGATTTTTTCTTGTGGAAAAGGGGGGGGGGGTACATGAGGAGAGTGGTAAGGGAAAATAAGAAACAAGTGGACAGGATACAGCAGCCCCCCCCCTCGACAACTTTTTCGCCGACTATATACTCATCGCTCGTCCGTCGGCGAAGAAGCCGTGGAGGCGGAGGGGGGGGTCGTACTCACACCGACATTTCGCACATCCCCATGCTGTACCCTGCAAGTGGATGGTGCTAGGGATAACACCACATACAGGGGCACCAGGGCACGCCTGTATACCTGAAGCTGGGTTTTCGGATGTCAGGTATTCCCTACCCCTAACAACCCAGCTTCAGGCCCACTATCCGATAAAGGTAGCATAATAAGGAACGAGAGGCGAGGTCACTTAGAGGAAGAAATGAGGCCATGCAACTGTAATTAGCGTGCGACCGACCCACTAACTCAGGGAACGCAAAAAAAAAAATAGCCAAAATTGAAGACCAAACCATGAAAGGGCACCATAATGCACCACGACAAAAATAATAAAAATATTCGGTTCATTTAGAGACTTCTGTTCATTGCAAAAATCCACAAAAAATGGCGGACAAACAAAAGACCAGTGGATCTTGGTGACAAATCGGCGAATAAATGGG